AATATTGGAGACTGGTCCGAAGACCTTCCTCTTCCTCTTCCTCTTCACCCTACAGAATCCCACCGCTCCTTACCTCCAGAAACCGCTAGCCACGATACCCTTGAATTTGTATGGGTATGCGAGAACTATGCCCATACACCTGATGCGAATCAGTCCCCTACCGGAGATTTACCCCCACCAGGTGGTGCGCTTCTTCAGTTTTAATTCATTTCCCAGTTTGTTATTACTCTTATTTACAAGTCTCCTCTATCATAGTGTTTGAACAATTTATTAACTTTGAAATTTTCGCTATCTAGCTCCATACAACGCTCATTTACCGACAATTTTTTTCTGGATTTGATCTCTTGCTGGTATGGGTTGGGCTTTGGTTTTTTTTTCACTTTCCGACTGTGAATAGGAGTGTTTGGGGTAGTTTTTGGAGGAATTTTGAATATTTTCAGGACGAGTTCTGCTCGGAGCGGGGTCAGGGTTAGGGTTCTTTTTTATGTTGCACACCGAAATGTTATATTCATTAGCGTGACTTGGCGCTTGGCGAAAAACCGTATAAACCCAGATAATACGGTACCGGTACTATACTGGTTGTGTGCCTGGCTAGTTTTTGTCATGGGCACGGTGAGGATTGAGCCGGGAGGTGGGGCACTCGGGTGCACAGGCAATACGGTACCGGTATTGCGCCGTAGATTACCCCGTTTCGACCGCAAACAGACGTCAGGGATATACGGGTGCCTGGTGCCCGGTTAGTGCTTGTACCGGTATTAGGAAACGCTACGGAGATCAGGTACGGTACTGTACTGTAAACCTACAGGTGGGATGCTACGATAATATGGTACGTGAACCCACGAGACCAGCCGCAGTTGCCCATGAACCAGCAACGCGGTACCGGTGTCATAGGGGAAGATAAAGTACGGGGACAAAAGGGATCGTCCGGCACAGCAACGGCGACCCCACAACCACTCTAAACTTACTACCTATGCAACCACAACTACTTAGAATAAACTGAAAATTTAGATAGATATCCACCAAATATAACAAAAACTGTATGTGAAATTGCAAAGAAAAAAATTCAATACTCTGTATACCATCCCTTTGCATCTAAAAAAGTAGCCACTCTCCTAGTCCTTGACTCCCATAGCTCTTCCAAGAATTCTCCTTCAATATCCTAGTTCCAAACCATATTAAGAGCTTCTGCTAGATGTCCTCTAATATTGTCTTAACCCCTCTTAGTCTTGTGAATGTTAGGAAAGTGTTGGTGCAGCTTTTTCTTTACCCTTTTCCAACAGGGGTCAATCAGATTGAGTCTGGGGAATCGAGTAACCATTCCATAACCTGTGTATAGTTTTCTGCAAACCAAGCTATAGTATCTCTTGCAGTATATGTTTTTACACCTTCCTGCTGAAATATAGGATCCCTAACTGTGTCCTCCACCTCCTGCCAGACACCAACTAGGTCATTCTTTAAAACTTTAATATATATAAATCTATCCATACTCCTGTCCAAAATAGGAATCAGAGGACCCTTATTTTTACCCCAAATGCAAGCTCAAATAATCAGCTTTACCTTAGACTCTTTTATTACCCTTTGAATACAGTCCTTATGCAATTTTTCCAAGGTATTCTGAGCATCTAAATATTCTTAAAATCTTTAGACTTTTCAACCATGTATTTATTATTAAAGATGACACTTTCAAAGTTTTTCTTTGCTCTATTCTTATACTCCTTTACCCAGTCCAACTTCTTGATAGTATGTTTATTCTTCAGAAATACTCTTTTCCCCACTTTGACCTCTTTATATTGACTAAAGTTAATACCTACTTGATTGTTTTAACAGAGGTATAGGATGCAACATCATTGCACAATTCTGATAAGGGCTAGTGGCAAACCTTCTTGGACTCTCTAACTAGGTAGCAACAGGTTCTGATATCAATAATTTTAGGTCTTTCAGTCAATGGGCAGTTTTTTCCATTACATATCATTTGAAACTCATTGTAAAAACTTTGAACTGTACTCTTGAGGGAATGAAAGAGCTCTCCAATCTCAGAAAAAGCAATATTTTACTTCCTTAGAGCAAAAATTTGCCTTCTCTCAAACTCTGTAAGGTAGCCTGTCTTTTTGAGAGGCATGGTTGTTGAGGAGTGGTTGATTAAAGAGGTGGGGTTTTTGAGGTGTTGCTTGGTAACCACCAATCGGACGATCCCTTTTGTCCTAGTACTTTATGTATCGCACAAGCAAAGCAAGCAAGCAAGCGCAGTAGACGAAACCCCCATCTAAACAATCACTTCAGCGAACCACCCCCTCGCCTCATGTCGAACCCAGGGTAATCCAAGCCACTGGTCCCTCTTCCCTTCGCCTGGCACTAAACCTCCACGCAGCTTTCGGCAACCAAGTTTGTATGATATGCCAAAACACTTCCATCCTCCCCCCAAAAAAAAGGAAATCGTGAAGAACTCACCCAGGACGCCACATCTCGCCCTGCAAGTTGAAGTGTGCTGCCGCGGGGGAGTTTCCATTTTACGCTGGATCGTCTGCTGGTACTCGAGTACTCGTAGGGGTGCTTGTCCTACCGGGTCCCGGTGGGGGTTAGGCTGGAGGATAACGGCCGCATTCAGTCTGGGTCGGTCTACGAGCACCAGGGGCTTCTATTATCGGGTTTGTTCCCCGGGGGAGGAGTATATTTGTCTAACATGGTTGTGGCGGAGGAGCAGGACCTTCTATGCACCGATGTGATAGGTGAGTAGGTTTCGGCACTTGTATTTTGTCGAGGTGATGTGTTAAGTCATCTTGAGCCACGATGGACGGCGGTGATATATACCGGAACGGGGGCTCGGTGAGATTTACCGGTATGTCCATCTGACGCCCCGATTCGCCCCGGGCGCACCTGGCCGCCCGCGGTTTCTATTGATCTGCTCCGCCCCGTCCTCTATGGTCCGTCCGGGTTGGGGGCAGGTTGTATGACAGCACCGGTGCTTGCACGGAACAAGTACGAGTACGATAAACGGTATTGGGGGGGGCATGGTAGCGAAGGAGGGAAGATGCTCGAGTGCTCGAGTACCGGTAGACTTTGGATAGAAAGGGGTGGTGCTGGGTCGGTTGGTTAGCAAACCACCGAAGCTGGCTACCCCACGACCGCTCTGGCAGGGGGGGTCGATTTTGGGTTTTGGGATAGCCGCGTTTCATCCATGTTCGGGGCGCGCGTAAAAGAATAGGTCCCTTCTCCTATTCTTTCTCAGTCATCAAAGTTGCACAAAGGGGAGAGAGGGGTTCTCTATTGAAAACCGGTACCAGTGTGGAGAATTCCCCCAACCGAGCGACCGAGAAGATAGCGAGACCAGTCGTTCGTCTTTTCTTCTGTCGGAATTGGTAAATGCCGTAGCGTTGTTTTCTCTCTTATTAGCTTCTATGGGAATGGCTGGGACGTTCTAAGTTCTGATGTCAAGAGCAGGGGGGGCGTCGGGGAGGGAGAAGCATTCATTCCCAACGCATTAATATGATGCGGTTTTGTTCCGGCCCGGTCTACCGGTAGTCTGGGCCGCCGGTTCGGGAGTTTTCCGTGTTATTTGTATGGTTGATTGGTTGGCTGACCGAGATAGCCCTGCCTGCATTTGAGTGGGTAGCCTACTAGGAGCACCTCTCCTCTCATAGCTGTGGATTGCGCATAGTATGGAGCTCCAACGAGTGGGAGCTTGATCAGTGAAGAGCGTATCGTCACAGCGGGGGAAAGATTGTCGGTCCGAGTGCCTGGGCGTGTCCCTAATCCAGTACCGGTAGAGCCAGAAAGGGAGCGTAATGATAGGCAGAGGGTTTACAGAATGCCAGTGTTTCACCGGGTAGTGGCAAGAGGAAGGAAGGGTAAGGAGGTTGTCTACGGTGCCTTACTAGCTAAACTATTTGCAGAGGAGATGAGGGCACATTTGGAGCTTTGTGTCTGAAGAGGTGTGCCTAACTATGGACATGTACCGTACAGTATGATCTTGCAGTTGGTTTGATTTGGTTCGCCCGCCCTTGCTTCTGTATCCCACAAACCAAAGAATCTATTGGTAGGATGAGCAGGTGCCGGCAGCAGGCGAGGTTCATTCAACAACAAATAAGGGTGTTTTTGCTGCACTAGCTGCTGCTATGACTGGATGCATGGGAAAGACAGCTTGATGCCAACTTTTTTAGACAGGTAGATGGAATGGATGGAGTGATTGATGGATTTGATGGATATCCTCTCTCGTAAGCCTCCCCCATTCATCGAACAGTGCCTGATACCTGCAATCCTTCCCTTTTCCCTTTTCAGTGCGGTAGACTGCAAGGACTACCGCATAGTATTTCTTCCCAACTACGGTAACTGCACTTCTCACCCTCGTATCCATTGAACTTCAAACAAGTAGTTTATAGTTGTCTCTCCGCTGACTGAATACGGAACGAGCTCTCCCATGATAGTGAGGACTTGGCTCCGCGCCATCTACCGTGTCTCTTCCACACGGCTTTCTTTAGACGGATTGACAGAAGGAATCAAGTACGAGTACAAGTGCTGCTCAGGTTCCCGCAGTTCCCCAGTTTGGTTCCTGCTCGTTTCTGGTACTGCCTACGGACCACACCCCTGGACCTTTTCTCTCGCGCTCTCTCGCTGCCACACCCTGCTTTCCCACCCCGTCGCGCATCCATCCATCCTCTCTTCTCTCACACTCCCCTCGCACCCCCTTCTTGTTCCTTCCTCGCTCTCGCCTTTCCTTCTCGTTGCTCACCCTAATAATTATTTTTTCCTCACTCCGTGCTCCTTCCCCTTCCTCCCTTCTCTCCTTCCCCTCCACCCTGTCTCCGCCAATTTATTCTCCTCTCGCTCTCTCCCCAATCCTCCCTCAATAGGCCTTCCCTGCTAACAGCGGCCATCCTCTCTCACTCATCGCCTATCGGCCTTTTTTTTTTCTTCTTCTTCGTTGAGTCGCTCCACCCCTTTTTAATCTGTCGCCAGACCTTGTAGTCAACGGTAACGCATTCACGGTCCCTTCGTCGTACTTTCTTCCGAGCAATCCAACCCTAGTTTTTTTTTATTTTTTTATCCTCCCCGTCCCTTCGCTCTCCAACAATCAATCTCCTCCGGAACCCACATTTCTCCTTTGCGACAGATTGCGGAATTGCTCGCATCGGCCGGTAGGTGTTATATGCCCGCTGCCTTTCCTCCGTGGCTCCCTAATCTCTACTGTCGACTGCCGTCCCGGCCTGGCTTTCATCCTTACCGACAGCGCCGGTCTCCTTAATCGAGGAATTAGGAGGGAAGAAAGAGAAGCTCCGTAGCTTACAGACTCGCTGCGATCTAGCCCAAAGCATCACCTGAGAGGAAGGGAAAAAAAGAGAGAAAATAACGTCTACGAAAAATATCACCCACCAGCTGTGCTATAGAGGAATAATTACGAAGGAGGAGGTCAGATTTGAGGGGAAAACTTAATCGCACGGTGTTTTCAATAGACTGGTTTCGGTGCTTGATATTTTGAGGTCACGTTTGGTTGCCGCACTAGCACTTTCGACATCGATACGAAATCTGTGGCCACACCATCGCAACGGCTGCAGAGAGGTTTTCCTCGGCCTTTTTTACGCTCCAACTAGAAATACCAAAGAGCAAGCCTCTCCGACTGGCGGGCCCACATCATTGGTAGGCCTGAGACCTTCCCCTCCCCTTTCTTTTTTAGTCACCATTGGACGGTCCCGGTCGGTAGAGCCTCCGTGCTAACTTTTTCGACGGAACTTTTGTAGACATAATTCCTAATGTCGTCGTCTTCCGAGATCAACATGAACCATCTCGCTCCACAACACGTCTCAGGTCCCTCCACCGGGGCCAACACAGCAAACACATCTCCTACTGATTCGGCGTCAGGCAGTTCTTTACGGGCTAGCTATAATCCGAACGGTGTCATGAACAGTGCTGGTGGCTCCGCCAGTAATGTGAGAATGGGGGCTGGTTCCCCATCTTACGATGCTTCGGGCAGCAGCAGGCTCTTCTCTAAAAGGTTAGTTTACTCATTGTATTCTGAGTCTTTCAAACTGTCGCTTGTCGGGTAAGGCTAAATGGGAGTTTGGTCGTTTCGGCAGAGCCCGTGAGATCCAGGCGGAAGAGGGTGTTGCACCACCGGGTCTATGGGGGATGTCATCCTCGAATCAATCGTCGTCCTCTCTGAGAGACCGTGAGAGTATAGTCCAGGAGATGAACCCTATCAACAGCTACCAGGAATCACCCGCTATACAAAGCGATTATACCTCCCCTGTCCGCCGAGCTCGTGCGGGAACCGTTCCATCTAGATTTTCTCCTGGCGGTTTCACTACTACCCCAACCATTATTCCTGGCATCCCTTCCACAAGCCGCCCTTCCCCGGCACCTTCCCCATTTAAATCCAACTCGCCACAGAATGTTGAGATGGCGGACAATGGTCCGGTATCGGTCAATCAGTCATCGTCGTCTGTGGCTTCGAGATTGAGATCCGGATCTCTGAACCTCCCCCCCCGTGCCAACTATGTGAGCCCATTTGGGCCATCAATCTTTGCGAGTTCTTGGACCCCCGGCCGCCCTACCGTGGGTGGGAACAACGGACTCCCCTCATCACCCGCACATTCGTCCTTCTCGAAGGATGATGAAGGAACTCATATGGCACCAAAGACCTTAGATTACCTTGGACTTGTGGATAGCCCCCAAGCAGCCCGTGCTACGTTGGCTAAGCCGATGGGCCTGGATACTCTTATTGAAGGACAAAGGGCAGCGGCTTTGCAGCCATTCATCTCCGAGCTTGTCGGTATCCAAAGGTCGAATAGGATCCGCTCATACTCTGTCAACGCCAAAGAAAAGTACGCTGAGGATGAAGAGGAGGAGGAAGAGGAGGAACAACGTCACCTCTACTCTGGACAACAAAGTGGCAATGCAACGCCCTCATCCCAAGCTAATCTGGCTGCCCAGGCAGCTCTCCACTCCCTCAGCGTAGCCTACTCCCCAAGCCGCCCCAGAGCCAGGACTGCCGGGGTCCTAGATTCGCCCCCAGTCAATCGGCTAAAGTCTTATTTGGCCACACCATCAAGATTGGATTCGATGACCAGTGCCTCTGATATTGGTCGTGATTACTTTGATTTAGGAAATAGTTCTGATCATACTTTGAAGCTTGGTAACATGCATCCTAGACCGTCAAGTGGAGAGGGAGGGTTAGCTTCGATCGAAGAGTCTTCCCTGGAAGGGCCCACACGTTCACTCTGGCTCGGAAATATTCCTGCATCAACTACTACGACATCACTTGTTCACATCTTCCAGGGCTTCGGTAATGTTGAGTCTGCTCGCGTTCTTACCCACAAGAACTGTGGGTTTGTCAACTTTAATAGCATCGACTCTGCGGTCCAGGCACGAAGCAGCCTCAACGGAAAGGAGATTTTTCCTGGCGCCGGCCCGGTGAGAATCGGGTTTGCGAAGCCATCCTCAGCCGGAAGCAATGGTACTCCCACGCCAAACGGTGGTGCTTATGGTTCCCCGAGTCCCGGGCCTCAAGGTGATTCCGCACCCTCTGCGGTCGGAGATGGTGCTCTGTCTCGTGATGCAAACGGTCCTGCTGCTAATGGAAGCGATACCCGCGACAGTGCCGCGGCACTCAAATTGCCTGATCTGGTTGACATGAGGGAGGATATCGTCAGGATTGTACAGGAATTTGGCGCGGAGCATGGGGATGCTTTGATGGTGGGGAACAACATTGATAAGGCCGTTGAATACCAGAGTTTTGAGCCTGAAATCCCACCAATCCCGGAGCCAACCCACAATCGCATTCATGATGCGCCCAAATTGCGTGATATCAGGAAACGGATTGATAATGGAAATTGCTCACAAACTGAAATTGAGGAGATCGCAATGGCCATGTTGGATGAGATTGCCGAACTCTCTAGCGGTACGTTTCCCGATATCCCGAAATTTCATAAATTGAAAACTTATGTATATCAGATTACCTTGGAAACACTGTTGTGCAGAAGCTCTTTGAATACTGCTCCGAGGAGATCAAGGAGGCGATGTTGGTAGAGATCGGTCCCCACCTTGCCGAGATTGGAATCCGTGAGTGCATTTTATCATTCGGTCATACACAGTTTGATGCTTATCCATACGACAGACAAAAATGGCACTTGGGCCGGACAGAAAATCATTGATGTCGCCAAAACCCCTGCTCAAATGCAGAAGATTTGTGATTGTCTTCGGCCCTATACTGTTGCTCTGTTCCTCGATCAATATGGAAACTACGTTCTTCAATGTTGCCTCCGCTTCGGTGCCCCATGGAACGACTTTATTTTCGAGACTATGTTGAGCCGTATGTGGGAAATTGCACAAGGAAGATTCGGCGCCCGAGCAATGAGGGCGTGTCTTGAGAGCCACCATGCGAGCAAGGACCAGCAAAGGATGCTTGCTGCTGCTATCGCTTTGCATAGCGTCCAGCTCGCTACAAATGCGAATGGTGCTTTGTTGCTGACTTGGTTCCTTGACACCTGCACATTCCCTCGTCGCCGCACAGTCCTCGCACCACGCTTGGTTCCGCATCTTGTGCATCTTTGCACGCACAAGGTTGCTTATCTGACCGTGCTAAAAGTTATCAATCAGAGGAACGAGCCAGAGGCCCGTGACACAATACTCAAGGCCCTATTCTTTTCGCCTGGAGACAAAGTATTGGAAGATATTCTCAGCGATCATTCATGTGGAGCGACTCTTATCTTCAAGGTTCTTACCACTCCATTCTTTGAGGAGACGATGCGGAGCGAGGTGGCTCAGAACGTCCGGAACGTCCTACTCAAGCTTAAGGCTACTCCATCACAGGGGTACAAGAGATTAATGGACGAAGTTGGCTTACCTACTCGCAACGGGGCTTCTAATAATACCAATACTAGTAATGGTCCGAAGGACCACCCGCGAGATGGTGTCAACAATAATTCAAACGCCAGTAATGATCGCAGGGGAGTTCCTCAAAGCTCGCCCGCAAACCATGGCCACAATCATCATAATAATAATCGCGATCTTCCGCCAGTATCGTTTTATAATGTTCCCCCTTCCGGTTTCGATCCGGCCGCCTTGGCCGCTGCTGCTTCCCAGATGCCCCAGAACGGAGGATTTGACCCAGTTGCCTTAAGGGCATTTGAGCAATTAAGCCTCACTGCAGGTTCACTTTACACTACCCCTAACTCTTCCGGAATCTCTAACCCCGCCCTTCAATATCAAGCCTTGCTGCAACAGTCGATGGGACGTCCGGGGCCAAATTTCTTGGGGATGCCACCTCCTATGGGAAACTATAATGGGGGACAAGCTTCGCAGGATCAGTACCGCGCTAGCCACCCCGGTAGCTCACCTGTAGCCCAGCCACAGCAAATGGCTAACAACCCGATGCTGGGCGGTATGGGTGGAGCACCCGGAGTCTTCAATCCGTTGTTCATGGCCGGATATTCTTATGGCAGTGTTCCAGTATTCCATCCACCACAGCAGCAGGGCAACGGTTCTGGAAGTGGAAGAAGAAGTGGAAGGGTGAGTTATTCTTAGGTTCGCATCTTCAACCAATTCATGCTGAATCAAATCCGCGATAGCGTTGATACGATCGATCTATCTTCTCAAAAGAATAAACAGACGAGTACTTTATTTTCTCTTTGCAATCAATCCTCAGAGGCTATCTTCGTTACTGGCGTAGCAAATTACATAAATCATACATTTTTATCAATGCAATAAACGGGTGGGAGGCGGAGCTATGTGTTCATGTGACGGAGCTCTTTATTTTTTTCATTAACGGGAACGGTTATTTTACGTTTTTCGGCTCTCCTGATTTCGTTTCATCTCACTTTCTCCTGTACCTTTCTATATTTAGGTTAAGAGCCGGGTTTCCATCTCGCTTTTTATGATAGTTTGTTCCTAACGATCCGAGTCCTTTTTATTCGTGACCTTGAAGTCTGGCTCTATCACAATCTTTCTCTCTCCTTCGTTTTCTCGTCGTTTTCTCGCTGTTTTTTTCGTTTCCGTCTAGCCACTTCTCCCTTAGTTTTCCTAATGGGGAAAACATGAAAGTGCTTTCCTTTTTCCTCCTTCCGTCATTTCGCTATCATGTATCCTCGTGCCTGCTGCTCATGTTTCCTTTCACTGTTTTTTCACTTTTTTTGCGTCGCGACGAAGTCAGGAGGAGGAGTCCTTCCCTGACAATCACTCTTTCGTATTTTCCTTCGGTTATGGGAACGAAGGAAAGCTGGGAAAGGTATTAATTGTAGGGACTATGCTTTCCATTGTTGTTAAAAATGGCGATTTGGTTTTGGGAGGAAAATAGGCACAATAACGACGAGAAGATTTCCTCATTTACTAGCTTGATATTGCCTTTTTTATTTATTTTTTATCTTTTATTCTTTTATTCTACCTTATTTCCACTCTCCTAGCATTTTGTTGACTGAAGGGCCAGCTGGAACGGATGATGAAGGATGAAACAGGGCTCCCCCCAGTCCTTCTCTTTTTTTAAAAAAAAAAAGTTTTTTATTTTTTATTTTAAAGCCTTTATTCCTGCGGTAAGGTCCAAGGATCTATTTTTCCGTTGCGGCCCCGTTCCGTCTTGGCCTCTGGTATGATACCGATGGAATGGATTGGCACTATCGTATCACCTGTACCTAAAGTATAGTACACGCAGTGTATCGGCCCTAATTGTGATAATGGCCTCTTCGGTGTTCCCCTATTTAGTCTTGCCGAGGCCAAGTTCTTTTACTCGCCCCAGATATTACTCTTTAGACCCGTAGCCCGCTCTCCCTAGTCTGAGGTATTTCTCCTTACCCTCCCCCTCCTCCAGCATCCCTCTCCCGCCCAATCGGGTTTGTCCGGTTGTCTCCGCGAGTGAGCTTTTGTGATGGATGTCAACTTGTGAGTTACCGACGTGTGGGGGTTTGGTAGGGGAGTTCCTTCCGGCGGTGGGAAGTTTCGCCCTACCTGTGCTTTGTACTTGCACCTGTAGGCTCACGTGTGCGGGGGGTAGGAATTGGGCGAGGCTCTTGGTATACCGTAATTGGATTGGGGGTCAATTGTAGTAGTAGTAGTAGTAGCAGCAGCAGCAGCAGCAGCAATAGTAGGTGAGGAGGGGGATACGTGGTGTTCTTTGTGTCGGGTCAGGAGTTGGTTATGTCTAGGGTCGCCACAACCACCACTCCGGCAATTTCTTGTAAAAAAGTTGTTGTAAAGGGCAGATTCTCCCCTCCCTCCCTTCCTGACCTTTTTTCCTTATTTCCTTATTTCCTTTTTCCCCCCTAGGATTCCTTGGGTCCATCTTTACCACTGTTGGCTTTTATTTTCAAGCCCTTTGCCTTTTTTTTATACATTTTTCTTTCTTCAGGTTCGAGTAAGACCGTGTTTGCCTTGTCATGACTACACTAGTAGAAGAGACGAAGAAGGGGCAGGAGCCCGAAAGGGCCAAGAGGACCTGGTGGAAGGATGCTGTCGTTTACCAGATTTACCCCTCCAGCTTCAACGATTCCAATGGCGATGGCATTGGTGATATCCCTGGTATTGTTGAGAAGTTGGATTATCTGAAGGCACTCGGCGCCGATGTTCTCTGGCTTTCCCCTAGTATGTCTTTGTCTCACTCCCTTGCTGTTTGTTCCGTGAACCATGACTGAGGAGGCTAGTTTACTGCTCCCCGATGAAGGATATGGGCTATGACATCTCCGATTACAGGAGAGTAGATCCTAGATATGGCACACTCGAGAATGTAGAGACGCTAGTGAATGAAGCGAGGAACAGATCTATCAGAATTGTGATGGATTTGGTTGTTAATCATAGTTCCGATGAGGTTTGGTTGCTAGATACCCCCCTCCTTGGATTGTGGGGCTGATGTGGGGTACACCTTTAGCATGGATGGTTTAAAGAGTCTAGAAAGTCCAAGACCAATCCGAAGAGAGATTATTACATCTGGAGACAGCCAAAGTTCGACGCGGAAGGGAAGAGACGGCCTCCTAATAATTGGGTTTCCGTGTTCGGAGGTAATCCTCTCCCTTTCCCGGTTCCCCTCTTTTTCGCGAAGCTTGATCCAGGTTGCTCAGCTCGGCACAGGAAGTGCATGGACTTACGATGAAACAACCGGGGAATACTACCTCCACCTCTTCACATCTTCCCAGCCAGACCTTAATTGGGAGTCATCGGTGCTTCGGAAAGAAGTATACAGCATCATGAGCTTCTGGCTTGAGAAACGCATCGCCGGCTTCCGCATGGATGTCATAAACCTCATCAGCAAGACCCCGGGTCTGCCCGACGCACCCGTCACCGATCCGAAAGAGGAATACCAAAACGGGTCAATGTATTTCGCAAATGGCCCCCGCCTGCACGAGTTTCTGCAGGAGATGAGGAGGGAGGTGTTGGATAAGTTTGACACAATCACAATTGGCGAGATGCCTTTTGTTACCGACCCGCAGGAGGTACTTAAGTGCGTTAAGGGAAGAAAGGAGCTGGATATGGTCTTCCAGTTTGACATGTTTGTTTCACTTCGACCCGCTCTTTCATACCTATTGACCCCGGTCTTATGCTGATCCGGGATTGTTTCATTTGTAGTGTCGAGGTGGACTCCGCGCCAGGCCAGAGCAAGTTTTCCCCGCACAAATGGAAGCTCGCGGACCTCAAGGCCATCGTGGACAAATGGCAAACATTCATGATAAACAACGACGGTTGGAACGCAGTCTATGATGAGAACCACGACCAACCTCGCTCTATCTTTCGCTACGTCGATAGAAGTGCTGTTGAAAAGAGTTTCCAGGCCAGGGAAATGGCGGCCAAAATGTTAGCCACCTTCCTGGTCTTGCAGAGCGGTACTTTATTCCTTTATCAAGGACAGGAAATAGGGATGGGCAACGTGCCGAGGGAATGGGGTATCGAGGAATACAAAGACGTTGAAACTTTGAACTTCTGGAATAAGTAAGTTTGTATTATTTTCCCCTACGAACAAAGCGCTAATGAATACTAACTGTGATAGATTATTGGAAGAGAGGGGGGGCGACTTGAGCAAAATGAGGGATGCCATGGAGGCTCTTCAGTCGAAGGCTAGAGATAATGCTCGAACTCCAGTTCAGGTAAGTGATGACCTGTGACGTCGCATAAACCTCCATTCTGCTAGAATCCAGTGCCATTGCCTCATGGCTGATCACTGTCCCCAAAAAATGCATGTTTCCGAGCCAACACTGACCGATCAATCGTTTACCAATAGTGGGATTCTAGTCCTCAAGCAGGATTCACGACTGGTAGTCCTTGGATGAGAGTCAATGATGACTACAAAGAATGGAATGCCGCAGCACAAATTGGCCCTCCGTCTAGTGTGTACAGTTACTACACGAAACTCCTCAGTCTTCGTCGGGATCACAAAAACATTATCGTTTATGGGGATTTCGAAATGCTTTCTCACAACCACGGGAAGGTATTTGCCTATAAGCGCTACGGCTATCACGGCCCAGACGTCGGTAAGGCCGCCGTTATCGTGGTCATGAACTTTACCGGTGAGGCGGATGTGGAGTGGGACTTGAAAGAGGGAAAATTTGGGAAAGAGGGGTTGTTGCAAAAGCCTGAAGTAATAATCGGCACCTATGGCGACGGAAAGGTCATTGTGAAAGACGGGATCGTTCACCTAAGGCCGTTCGAAGCAGTGGTTTTCTGGGGTGACTTTGTTGACGTTAGTAGGGGTGGGGGGCCGGGCCCTAACTGCGTAATTGCCTGAATTTGGTTTGCCGATGATGTCGATTTACTTTGCTCATTTTTATTTTGAATTTTTGTGCTGCGATACGATTTTACGATTTTACGATTGATACGCCCCGCCGCTAGTTTTGTGGTTTTTGAGCAATAAATTACAAATACTGTACATTTGACTCATTGCAATCCTTGAAAGAGGAGTCGGTAGACTAATTCTTGATAAATTCTCGTGCTGGAGGTTCTTTCTCGTGTTCTAGACCGTGGGAGGTCATGCGGGATCACTCGATCCTTGATTCCCTGAGTTTAGTGACAGAATTCAGCCTTGTAATGGGGGCGGAGGGGGGACCTGTGGGCACCGGGTGATGGGGGGCTGCAGGGTTAGTTGCAGAGTAAAGTGCAGAAAAGTGGGGATACTTAGCCCATTGTTGGGAGAAGATAGGGCCTGGACAGGCCCGTTGTACATTCTTATCACCTTCCTCTTCATGCTGCAGCAATTATGATGTATTTAGTGGGGAGAAGAGGCGTTAAAACGGGAACGGGGACGACCCCCTATGACTCCTGTTGGCGTTTGAGGTTTCAGGGTTTGGGCCTGGTGCAAGGTAGCCAATCAATAGTTGGGAGACATACGCTTGTCTGCGTAGGTATGAGTCTTAACAAGCCCATCAGTCAGCAGGACCAACTCAGGCCATCGCCGATTTTTTTTTTAGTGTTGCGACAACAAACCTTTTGTCCACTCCTTTTTTAGTGTGGCAACCACAAGAACTCTTCCCCGAACAAGGAGACTGACTGGAGCCCACCGGTCGCCCCTCTCCCATTTAATATTTCTTTCTATCTTCCTCCTTTCCTCCCACCGTCTCCCCTCTCACCAAACTTTCCCCTCTTTGTGTTGTTTGCAGGTCCACTCCTTCCTCATTGCTTTCCTTTTTGCTATCCTTTCTTTCATCCATCACATCAACCATACCTGTCAACCCACTTAACCGAATCCTCGAGCGCGTCTCCTTTTCTTCTCGCGCAACGCCACACACGCCGACACAACCGCGGCCCGGAAACAGTTTAAAGATGTTTGGATCCGGGGCCAGCGGTGGCACGAGCGGAGGCTTTGGAGGCTTTGGGGCGAGTAATAATAATCAAACTGGAAATACTGGTAGCGTGTTTGGTAGTGGAACGGGGTTTGGCCAACCGGCCAGTACGGGTACGTTTGTTATTTTTTCTCCAGAGTATTTGCTTCGATTTCTTGCTTTCTTTGCTTTTTTTTTTTTGCTGCTTTTCTCGCTTCGATGTGGGAACTTGCGTGGTCTATATCTTGCGGAATGCTTTCAACCGTGACGTGATTGGGGCGCGTTGTCTTGAGGTTCTTCACGCGAGGGAATTTTGGGCGGGTGTTTCTTTCTTCGATTATGGTAGCGATGGTGGCGATGAATGGCGATGATGATTACATGCATTACACTCCGGAACTCAGTCTCGACTAACTTCTCCACCTGCTGGTTTCTTCTCCAGGATTTGGCAATACTGGTGGGGGGGGATTTGGCCAGCAGCAGAACACGTCCAATGCTTTCGGCGCTGCGACTACAACCAACACCGGCTTCGGTGGTCCAAGTGGAGGTACTTCTAGAAATCTGTTCCATCATCGTCATCGTCGCTATCATTGTCTGCTTTTGTACATGCACTATCTTACGGCCCATAAGGCTCATGTTGTCTTGATTCTCTGTCCTCTGCTCCTGTTGCAATCTTCTGAAACGATCACGAATATTCCCTTTACCCTTTTGCACATAACGGCGGCAGTGGCCCAACACAATATAGAGCTGTAACTACTTGTTGTGTGCCATGCTGTGACATCGTAGAGTTGATGAACTTGACTCGCTATGGATAAGTCTAAATCTAACGTTCCTGGTACTCCTATAGGCTTCGGAGCGACGAACAACGCGGCAACATCCCCCTTTGGTGCTGCTAAACCATTTGGCGGAACAACCCAACCCGGGACAGGCGGTCTTTTTGGGGGTAATACTTCTAGTAATACAACATCTGGCGGTACTGGATTTGGGTTTGGTGCTACCAATAATGCCTCTAATGTATTTGGTGGTGGGAATACGGCTGCCGCTGGTGGAGGCGGGCTCTTCGGAAACTCAAAACCTACCTTTGGTCCTACGGCAACCACTGCGGGAGCTGCTGGAGGCTTGTTCGGGACTGCAAACTCGGGTACTGGAGGCGCATTTGGTGGGACTGCAAACACAGGGATTGGATTCAGTTCAGGAACTGCCCAAGGGCCTTTAACTGGGACGGCAAATCCCCCATACGCCGCGTTTACGGAGAAGGAAGCACAGGGTGGCACAACCAATCACTTCCAGACAATTGCCTTTATGCCGGCATATAAGAATTGGGCGTTAGAGGTAGGTGTTTGGCTTCAGGAAATTCTCAACTATCGCGATGCTAACTAATCATTAGGAATTGAGACTCCAAGATTATGTCCAAGGCCGCCGGTATGGGACTGATTCGGGCAATAGCGGCGCATTCGGTCAAGGCACGCAGTTTGGCGCTGCATTTGGAGCTGCCAACAATACCAATACCTCGGGTTTCGGAGCGACAAGTAACACTGCTACTACCGGCGGAGGCCTCTTCGGCAATACAGCTAATAATAACACCACTTCTACCCCTTTCGGGGCGACCAACACTGGGGGTGGCTTCGGGACTGGTGCTACTCAGACAGGTGGTAGTCTATTCGGTGCTAATAAGCCTGCTACTGGAGGCCTCTTCGGAGCTACCAACAATACCACCACAACTGGTGGTGGCGGATTGTTTGGGGCTGGTGCCAACAACACAACTGCTGGGGCTTTTGGGGGGGGCAATACCGCTGGTACCTTTGGAGCTACTGGAACTACTGGCGCTGCTGGCGGCTTATTTGGTGCTGCTAACAATAACAACAACCAACAAGCGCAGAAGCCCTTTTCCTTTGGGAACACTGGTGCTGGCTTTGGGGGCGGTGCTTCGAATACTGCCTTCGGCGCGCAAGGGAACAATGCTACTACTACTGGAGGTGGATTATTTGGAAACACTCAGAATACTACTCCTGCTTTCGGAGCAGCACAGCCTGGTACCGGATTTGGAGGGACAGGGGGTGCTTTTGGGACTGCCGGCCAAAATCAAGGTGGAACTGCCTTTGGTGCCTTTGGAAATAATCAGCAAGCTCAGCAAAACAAACCTCCTTTCGGTGCTGCTTTCGGTGCTACCCAGGCTGCCACTGCTACGGGTGGGGGCGGATTGTTCGGAAACAATAACCAGCAGCAGCAGCAACAGAATACTGGTGGGCTGTTCGGCGGCGGTGACAGTAAACCATTTGGTCCTCCTCCCATTTCTACTGGAACTCAGGGCGGTGGATTATTTGGAAACAATGCTACCGCTACTGGAGGCACGGCTGGAGGGCTGTTTGGGGGTGGTCAGGCTACCCAGGCCTCTCAAGGTGGGCTGTTTGGGGGTGGGGCTGGCGCCAATACTGGAAGTGGAGGGTTATTCGGCAATAACGCCAACAAGCCACCGGGCGCACAAGGTGGTGGGCTTTTCTCGAACACTGGACCTCCTGCATCGACCAACGGCGGCCTTTTTGCGGGCTCATCTCTTGGTGGCTCCCAACTAAATACTTCTACTGGTGGTGGGTTCTTCAACAATCAACAGCAGCAACCACCACAACAACAGCAGCAGATGGCCGGGAATAGCTTGTTTGGTAGCCAGTTCGGAAATAGTGTTCAGGGCCAACAACATCAGCAACAACAAGGTTTTACTGCGTCGGTTACGGATTCGCCGTATATTAACCCTGTGCTCAATTCATCATTGGGCAACGTACCGAACTCCCCTATGGGCCCTATTGCTACCCCACTGAGCTCCAACGTCCAGACTAAGAAAGCTGCCATGATTCCTCATTATAAAATCGCGCCTAGACAGCCATCTCTTGCACCACGCCTTGGAAACAGCTTCTCTCGAAGCGGTTCGCCCTTTGCTGCCTCATCTGGTAGCCATGCTACTCTTGGGAATAGTGGAAGTTTGGGACGTTCGTTTTCATCAACCAACAAGCTGCACTTATTCGATGGTGACGACTCAATCCTTAATTCCAGCTCTTTCACCCCCAACACCTCAAGCCGAGTTGCTAGTTTGAAGAGATTGGTCATAGACAAGAAGATAAGAGATCAAGATTTATTTTCTGGTGGCCAGGATCTTCGAAAGGATAATTCTGGCGGTTCAGATTTTGTGGCCAAGAGCGGAACCAAGAGTATACTTAAGAAGACTGTTAGCTTTGATATCGCAGCCAATCGCAGGGGCGAAGAGGAGCTTTTTGGTGCGGGAGCCACTTCGGCCAAGGGAAAAGAGACGGTTGGGCCTAGCCCCACGGCTGAGGAGATGGGTTTCTTGAGGAGCACTCCGGAGAGGCGGAGATTAAGGGAGGTTGAAGAGGCATCAAATGGATCTACCTCCGCGAATGATGCACCCGTTATCGGCAATGAGGTTGCTGTTATCTCCGAGAAGCCGAAGGATGATAAGTCACCTGGAACCTACTGGATGGTGCCTAATGCTTCGAAATTGAAGATGCTGCCGAAAGAACAACAGAAACGGGTCATGGGTTTGACAATCGGACGTCGCGGTTATGGGCAAGTTAGGTTCGACAATCCTGTTGACATCTCTGATATCGAGGACATCGACAAAATCCCCGGCCATATTGTTCTCTTTGCTCAACGTGTTTGCACCGTTTATCCTGAGACAATGCCTAAGCCACCTCCGGGGAAGGGCCTCAATGTGCCTGCTACGATTACCCTTGAGGACTGTTTCCCCGTTTCCAAGAACGAGCGTGGCAAAATCAGAGATCCCGAGCATCCTCGCTATGTTACTCATATCCGTCGGTTGAAGAGCATTAAGGACACCGAGTTTGTTAATTACCTTGCGAACGAGGGCTTGTGGATCTTCCGCGTTCGTCATTTCACTACTTATGGACTCGTTGAGAGTGATGATGAGGAAGATGGTGATTACACCGTTGATGAGTCATCAATACTTCCTACAGGCGAAACTCCCTCCCCCGCTAGGACTCCTAGTAGTTCATTGTGGGATGGGGATGAGGAGAGCAGTATGGACGCTGATGTTAGTGGTGTTGATAACACATCCAGCTACGATGACACTTTCGATTTCAAGAAATTTGGCTCCAGTGCCATCGCGTCGAGATACAACCGTGGCCAATATAGCTCCTTTTTGGGCCGCAGTGATAGGGAAACGAGTCACGAAGAGTCGGAAGAGGAGGGGGATGTTACTATGGACCAGGCTTTTTTAGGTGAAGGCTCCGTGGGTAGCGTTGAGGATGTGGATGAACCCGCGGAGCCTGAGTCGGACCAATCGGAGGAGGAGGTTGATACCACTGTTGTTGTGGATGACGAAACTGACGGAGATGTGACGGGAGCTTTGGTGCTTGCCAATTCCCATATGTTGAGCCCGGTGAAGGAGGACGAGGAGGATACGATCACTCCAGATACTCCTGCAAAGCTATTGCCTATGGGTCAGGACTGGACTGAACAATTGAACAATACTATAAGTCCTAAGAAGAGGAGGTTTGGTGGCGAGAGTTTCATGGCTTCCACACGTAAACTTGCCAATAGCCCGGTCAAGAGATTCAATATTGAGCCCATGAGCTATGGGTTATTGGATTTGGCAAATGATCTTTATGGTGGTGTGGCAGGCGCGATAAATGGGAATTATACGAAAGGAAAAGGAAAGGCAGCGTGGGATCAAGTTGAGGTTTGAACCGTCTTTACCCTTTTTTTTTTTTCTTTTGTGGCGTTTATTTCCCTTTTCTCTTTTGCATACGTCTGTCGACTTTCCTTCCCCTGGAAACAAAAATGTTCCAATGTTCTCATGTAAGGTTAAGCAAGACTGAATTATATAACTGAAAATTGTTCTTTGCTTGTAGTCTCCTACATCCGCCAGATGTCAGCATGAAAACGCGTGGACGGCAACGAAGAACGATAAAAGCAATCCTGATACTATCGAGTCGGATGACAAACGGTGGCGGAATGCCGTAAAGCCGGTTTGGGGGAAGGATGGATCTATTATTTATTTCGGAAATTTGGAGGGGTTAGGGCGGAGGAGGAATTACGGAAATGATTTGAGGCTTGCAAAGCTGAAGTACTCTATTCAGGTTTGTGATTATTGTTCTATACCTTCGAAAGCGGATTCTGATTGTGCGCAGGGATCCGAAATCCAGGGCACCCCTAAACCTTTGGAACTTCAACTTCGAGCGACCACTATCAAGCGGGACGAATTCAATGTTCCGGTAGCTGAGCTTAAGATGGATACACTTTTTCACTCCTTCACCCAACTCAGCTGGAGCCCGGATGACCCCGCGAGTCAGCACGAGAAGGGCGTTTGGGAACTTGCCAGTGTGCTCTGGGATCCTGTCGCTGGGGAATTTGCCTTGGAGGAGGAGTCGCAGGAGATGATTGAGCACACTCAAGAGATCTGCCGCAAGGAGAGATTATCTAAGTTCTTGGAAGCTTTGGTTGAAGTCGCCGCCGACGAACATGCCCATGGCGCCACTACGCTGGAAGAAGTTGCAATTGCTCATTTGACTGCTCATAGGGTCGAACACGCTTGTGCTTCTCTTCTTGAAGCTGGGGATTTTAGACTTGCTAATCTGATCACTATGGTTGGCGGGGATGCTAAACTTAGATCAGCTATCAAGAAACAGCTCGAGCAATGGAAGAACAAGGGTGTGCTTGCGGAGATTCCGATTCCTATTAGGGCACTTTATGAGCTGCTTGCTGGTAATACTTGTCACTCTGAAGGTGTCCGTGGCCCTCCGGAGGACGCCGCTCCTAACTTTTTTATTCCGGGTCGGTTCAACCTTGACTGGAAGCGTGGGTTTGGACTCAAGTTGTGGTATGGATGTGCCGAGGAGGAACCAATCGGGAATGCTGTTGTTGATTATGAAGCGGACATGAGAGAGTATCCTGAGGCTGTTCCCTCACCCAAGCCTTGGTATCACACGGAGGAGAACCCTGCCCGCGACGACGCAGTTGATATTCTTTGGGGTCTCTTGAAGCTCTATGCTGACCGCGAGCTTAATCTTGAAGAGGTCCTCGCGCCGGTGAATATAACCACCAGCTATATTGACTACAGACTCAGCTGGCAACTGCGCACCATCCTCGCAAAGAAGGGTATTAGAGATTTTAGTGGCGGAAAGCTACACAGGAGGATCGACGGTATAGACGAGTTCATTGCCGGAACCATGGCCGACCAAATCACCATCGACTTCGCCGGCGAGCTTGAGACTCTCGGAATGTGGGAATGGGCGATCTTCGTCCTCCTCCACCTGACCGACACTGACAGTCGCGAAACAGCCGTCCGTAACGTTATAGGCAAGCACATTGATGAACTCGAGTCTACGGAGGGTGCCGACGTTGGGAAGAAGCTGGAATTCCTCGAGAAGACGCTTCTAATCCCGAAAAATTGGATCCACGAAGCCCGCGCTTTGCAAGCCCGTTCTACCGGTCGCCACTTACTCGAGGCCAGATATCTTCTTGCTGCGCAAGCATGGAACGAAGCGCACAAGACGGTCGTCAAGCGGGTTGCGCCGGAAGCTGTCATCTCTGGTGATTTGGAAACTCTTAAGCCTATCCTTGCCGAATTCGAGGACGTCGACCTGGTTGATAGGTGGAACTTGGGCGGCCAGGTTTACCTCGACTACATTCACCTTCAAGAATACGTCCTCTCCGGCAAGCTACACCTCGGGCCCACCAAGGATGCACCCGAGCAGAAGGGCCTGCCAAAGTCGAATAGTCCAAAGGACCTTGCTAGGCGCTTACTCGTAGGTCTCAAGAATGCCGATAGGGGGGGTTTTCTGCAGAACATCGCGGTCAGGGAGATGGCAGGCGTTGTCGGAAGCTGGGTGCTTAGGAGTGATGATATGGTTTGTCACCCTTTTCTTCTTTTCGGTTTTTTTATTCGGGGTGGAGTGTAGTGCTGATGTCAATCACTCTTCACACAGATATCTGAAGCTCCAAAACTCCTGGAACTCCCCCTCACCGAGGACCAGTTCCTCCGCAAGACGGTGAATCTGGGACTAGCGTATTACAGAGCGAGGTTACAGGAGGTTAGGTAGTTTTCTATCATTTTTATTATCGTTATTGTTATGTGTTCCTTCTTCGTCTTGGGCGGTTGGTTGGTTGATTGTTGGGTTCTTGCTTGTTTGTCTGGGGGAAATGTGAAAAGTTTGATCCCTCCCTTTGTTGCCTGTTGTCTTTTACCCCCCCCCTTTTTTTTTTTTTCATATAGTGGTGCCTTTGGGCAGTGATGTAGTTTTAGTATTACAACGTCTTGATCTGAGTGGTGGTAATTTAGTTGCTGTTTTTTTTTAACCTTTCCCTTTCTTTCTACTTGAAGCTTGTATTAGCTAGCGGGATGATGTGCTCCTACGGGGGGTACCGGCATGAAGCTATGAGCGTGGGTGCATATCTGGGTTGTGAAAGGAAAATGATAATTATGATGTCGTGTAATTAAATAGTATAACTTACTCCGACCTTTTGTTTAAGTTAGTGAATAGCCTTGGAGGTTGGGTTGTGCTTACGCTATCAGCTTTCCGGATTGGTTTACCTGGTTTTATTTGGTATGATGCTGGCATGTTTTTGGGCTGTTTATGCATGCATTGCTTTGTGTTAATGCGTTTGGGGTTGGTAAAGTCTACCGGTATCGTACCGGCCGTATGATTGGTGTAGGATAGCGTAATCGCTGTCTAAGCTTGGAGTCTTTCGCGATAATAGTCTCGAGGTCTCTGTCGGGAGGTGAATGAGGATGAGAAGAACGTCGACTTGGCGGAGTTAGCCTGGGTGGGAGCCCTGCTGTAGCATCGTAGGAGGGTGGTTTGGTATCGTAGACTACTGTACACAGCGGCGCTTAGGGAAAGAAAAAGGGTTGTGGAGGGCCGCCTTGACGGGACATCTTGGTAGGTCGATAGCTGTCACTTGTGCGTGGGAGCAGCATATATCGTAGAAGCACCAACTGGCTTAACTTGTGGTGCACTGGCCCGGCCTAGTATGATATAATAGCTCCCTCCGGTGGGCCCGGACGGTCACAGTTCGGTGTGAGGCCAGCCACGGTTGGCCGTGGGAATGAGGGGTCAGAGCATGGACAGGTGTGTGTGTGTGTTAGGGGTATGGCATAGGAATGATATGATACCTATAACTGGAACCTCCGTGGTGTCCACTGTGCACCTGGGCTCCATCATGGGATGCCATGATACATGAATCCAGTAGAGGCTCAGACACTTTTCCTATATTAGGGCGCTAGCGTGAGTAGAGCGGAACGGTTTATTATTATTGTTGTTTTAAAGGGAAGCCTTATGGTTGCCCTTTTTCGTTAAATCTTGATAATAGTATCATATCATCGGTCTTTTTTAATTTTTTTTATGATACCTCCGGTGATTTAAAATTGGTTGGGCCGGGAAAAAGTATTATAGCATGTGGATTTGGTCACTAATGCCTCTATCAAGCTGCCCTGCCTACCTACCAAACTTTACGAATTTGGAGTACTGTTGTACTGGTACCGTTGATCACTTTAGTTCTCGTTTTTTTTTTTTAAAGACCGGTGCGGACCTGCTGGGAGTGCCGTGACAAACAGCGCCGGGATGGATGTTATCTTGCAGAGCTAGGTAGTACGGTATGTGCGAGAAGTATTACAAAGTATCATACTATCTTAGGTCATAAGTTTTTTTTTTGAATGTCCTCTTCACACTAAAAGCGTCCATCTTTTCGCCACCTGAGAACACGAGTGCCTATGGAGGGGGGGGGGGGGAATCTGGCAAAATTTTAGAGTGGGTTGGTTGTCCATCCCGTAGATATTATGAAGTATAAACATCACGGAGGGCTCCGGGAAAAAAAATTGCGAAGCCGTGGAGGGAACGTGAGTTGATCCAGAGGTATTCTGTTGCCGTGCACCTTTTGTATGATATGGAGCCCCATATGATACAGAGTTTGAGGTCACTTTTTTTCCACCGCCCATCCATTTGGTCGTGGATAACTGGGAGAAATTAGTATTTTATTTTGTTATTCGTGCTTCTGGGTGGATGAATTCGGAGTATCATAAGTTCCCAGCCGGTGATATACATATATATATATAATAGTGGGTTGGAACAACCCATTGCCAATTGGGGAAGCCGAAGAGATAGAGCTAGCCACACAGGGGTTGTATCTCGGAGGATAGTGGAAAAAGGTAAATCCGGTTGCCGGGCCAGGGCGGGGTCATAGCTTAGCGGGTCCGTGGACCCCCATATATATATCACTACCGAATCCCCCTTTTAGTACGAGAGCATCATGCTTCCTACACCTCGCGTTCTTTAGTTCCTTACACCTCGCGTTTTTCACTTTAAAAAGACAGCCTTGCTCCCATAATAATCATTAGATCACGAAAAAACGCCAAAACACCCGAGAAATCAACTATCTGATTCACAAAGAGCACACATTATGGCTCCTCGCAGAGCATCCACCCATGGAGGCAGCACCTCACGAGCCAATACATACAGGGTACACGGCAGAATCCGGAAAAACACACCGCGTAGTCGACAGCCTCCCAGTCGGTATGGCCAACAGGATGAGCAACATTCCATCCCCCCAGCAAGCTCAGCATCTAATGCTGCAACAAGCAAGAGCAACGAAGCCGAACCAAGTATTCCTGAATACAGCCACTCGTCCAGTATTTCTACCAATACCATCCGCCAAAGCCCCAGCCCACTACCACGTCACAGCACAGCTCCCCGTCCCAGCAGAGCACACCAGGCCGAACCGTCCACTCCGTCAAGCGAACCCCAAGTTCAAGCACAATCAGTAAGCATGGTTGATACTTCAATCAACCTGAATACAATGCATGAACTACTCTGTTCCCATGAACAAGAAATCATGGATCGAGTGGTCTCCCAGCTGACTTCGCAAAACCTACCCCAACCGGTTACCCGAAATACCAATCCGCATACCTCTGAGCTCCCCCTCTCCGGCACCCAGTCACACCTTCCCAACCCTACTCTATCAAGAATAGCCGATTTGGAGAGCCAGCTGGCCCAACTCCGGGCCCAAAATGAGCCCGAAAGAACTAGAACTGAACAAAACCCACCTGGTATGTTTATACCCACCCATACCCTCACTACCATACCATACCAAGCCGAGAGTGCATCTGGAATCCTTGACTCAGTCGAAACGATGTTCCCGGGAGTTGAACGAGTGACTCTACAACAAATTATCGAGAACCGATTTAAGCCCACGAATATCTACCGCCTTCTAGCCAGCGAGAAGGAGCGGGCAGAAACACACCGAACAATCAACATCGGAGGCATCGAGTTCGAGCAGGCAGAGCGCGAGGGAAAAGAGGGTGAATACAAGATGAGCATCTTTTTTAAAGCTTGGGCAGTTTACTCCGGAATCCTGATCAAGCTGGCGCCACATGGGTTACAAGGTGACCTGGCAACCGCACTCTGCATATATACTATGAATCTCTACGAATTGTTGGAGAAGTATACCTGGGACGGAGTAAAGTCATATCACTTCCAATTTCACCGCAAGCGAGTTGCGAGTGGAAAAAACATCTACGAACCAACGGACTGGCGCCACCTAGATAGTGAGCTAGTCGCCTCAAAATGTTTCGCTCACCCGATACTACGTGCAACATGGACAAGCTCCCAAAAGCAGGTACCCTACCAGTCCCGAAGAACATATGAGTTGCCTATCCGCGAGGCTGGTGCTGGACCCGCCTTCACAAACTCCGCCCCAACGACTAGCATGCTCCTCCCCCCTGCCGAGCGGCGGATAAACTACCACCAGCCGAGTACTGCACACTCGGGGATACCAGCAATAGGCAGTGGAGTACCGACACCCCCATGCCGTAATTGGAACTATCGTGAATGCCGCTCTGAGCAATGCCGATACCAGCATTGCTGCATTACATGCGGCAGCAACCACAAGGCATCACAGTGTACCCTAGGCACCCAGCCACCCCGCACTGCACTCCATCGACGTTAGCCCCCCTATTTCCTGCTCCCTACTCTCCCTTCTTGCCTGGCATATGAACACCTTTCCTGCTTCAAGCCCATTCTCACTATACCTGTAAGCTTACTGGTAGCGAAGTAACTTCCACTAATACTACAAATCTAATACCACTACATTCTTTGTCACAAAACTACCTTGTTATGAGCAATGAAAGCAAACAAACTGCGCGCCCTAACACCCAAATCCATTACCCACTCTTCGTGCCCCATAACCTTCCTCTCCCAGCTGGGCAGCTCAAGATCCAGGGATGGAAGAGAGCAACGGTCAATTACCCAGACAAGGCAGTAATTACTGCCATTCCCGGAATCTGCCAATTCGGCGCCAGAATCGGCTATGAAGGGTCACGCAAGACACCCACAATACACCCAAATTTGCCAACAGCCCAAGCCGATGCCGACCTAGTTAACTCCGATATCATAGCCGAGCAAAACAAGAACCGCTTCAAGATCTACACCAGTCTATCAGAACTCCCGAACCACTATACAGCGTCCCCGCTTGGCTTAACTGATAAGTCGGATGGGAGTAAAAGAAGAATTCACCACCTCTCCTTCCCACAGCATGGCTCCGACTCGATAAATGGTGGGATCCCAGAAGCTTATGGTACTATAATGTATAGCAATATCAATGAGGCAATTGCAGCGATTCAGGAACTCGGAAAGGATTGCATCCTACTGAAGCGCGATTTCGAGTCGGCCTTCCGCCATATACCCGTCTCACCACTGGACTCCCCACTCCTGGGGTTCCACTGGGATAATAGCTTCTACTCTGAGCAGTTTCTCCCATTCGGTCTCCGAACAGCCCTATACCTATTTAACCTCTTTGCAGAGGTATTTCATTGGATCCTGGACAATGAGCTACTCAACCAGGGCCTCAAGGTCCACATAATCCACTACCTCGATGACTTTCTTCTAGTATTACCCCGCAACGCAAATCTCAACCAATACCACACCACATTTACATCGATATGCGCAGAGGTGGGGCTGTCAATCAAAATATCAAAGAATGAGGAGGGAAGTATCGCAAGTTTTGCTGGAGTCGAACTCGATACCTGCATGATGGTCATTCGCCTCCCAAAGAAGAAACTCGCAAAAGCACGGTGTCTAGTTCAAAACATGTTACCAAGGAAATCGGTTATGCTGTTAGAATTGCAGAAGCTGACCGGATACCTGAACTTTGTCTCCATAGTGGTACCTCTTGGCCGTACGTTCCTACGTCGCCTATATAATATGGAGTTATACTTCCCAGCCAGAAGCAGGCATCAAAGGCGTCGTCTCTCAAGCGAAGCCCACAAGGATCTGGAGTGGTGGGACAGGGCTCTTGCCCGAGCCCCAGAGAGGTCAATGGCCTCTCAAATCCGGGATACAATCTTGACCTGGACGGATGCTGCAAGCACTAAAGGTCTTGGTGCTTTCTTTATAAGCAATACCTATCCTATCCCACAATCAGAGTCAGCTTTCTGCATACCGTTCCCACAAGACGTCATCACTAGAAGGGAACATATCAATACCCAAGAGATGCATGCAGTAGAACAGGCGTTGCTAAGGTGGGGACGGAAATGGAGGGGAAAAAGAGCGATTGTACACACCGATAACCGGACAGTGGCTTACGGTTTAGCAAACCGAACACTCCGTGGTGCATCAATGGACGTTCTTCGGAGGTGTCTGCTTCTCGCAGCAGAATACGACCTGGAAGTAGATGCAGAATGGATCTCAACAAATGCCAATGCCCTTGCAGATGCACTCTCGCGCTTTGACTACGAAAAAATTACTAACCTAGCGCCACAGTTAACAGATCAGAACGGGTCCCTCCAGAGACATGGGTGGCTAACGTACAGCAATCGGGACTCTCCCGCATAGCAGCCTACTATCTCTGGAGAGGTCTTGCACCTTCCACCCGACGTAACTACGACAGTCCAAGATCTCGCTTTGCGCTCTTCTGTACCCTATCCGACTACCGCCACAGCAATGGAGGGTGTTTCCCAGCGAAAGTTACATGGTTGATCGAATGGTTGTGCTCCTTGGCCGGAACTGTCAAAGTCAAGACGATGAAACTCTACCTGGCAGGTCTCAAATCTTACCAACTCGACCTGGGAATTGAGTGCACTGCATTCCTAGACCCAAAACTGGAACGAACGATTCAAGGAATAAAGCGTGACCATCACGAACCAGAACGGCGAATCCGCACACCACTCACCCGCCCCCATCTCCTCCAAATCCTAAATCACCTCCAAGTTCACAATTACGATAACCTGGTACTCTATGCAGCCTTTACCCTTGCCTTTGCCGGGTTTCTTAGAGTGGGAGAATTCACTTATAGAGAGGCTGACCAGCACTGGGCACATCATACTCTCAGTGGTTTTTGACTAAAGAGAGTGCAAGAGTGAGAGAGGACGGGACGTACATGGACCTAACCCTGCCCTCATCCAAGACAGACCCCTTCCGAAAGGGAATTACACTAACTATCGCAGCGAGCAACGACGCTGGATGCCCGGTACATGCCTTAAAACGCTTTCTAGCAGCCGACCACCACCGACCACCTTCCTCACCACTATTTTGTATCGGAAGACACCAGCAACTCGCCTTCACCTGGGAACATGTCGTCAAAAGCCTGCAAAACCTAGCTACCTCAGTTGGGCTCGCACAGGGCACCTGGAATGGCCACAGCTTCCATAGAGGAGCTGCCACTTGGGCTGCAGAAAGGGGTATTCCAGAGTCAGACATTCAACTGCTGGGGAGGTGGCGATCCGATGCCTATAAGGCCTACATCGAGTACTCGATAGCACAGCGGATCTCGCTCTCTAAACGGTTTCAAGAGAGTCAGAGACAGCTCGCCTAGGCAGCGGGCCAGCCTGCCTCAGGACGGGAGACAGACGTTACCTTCTGCACGGCAGGCTAGGTACGCCCTAGCTGCTGCCTCAGCATGGGATACATCAGCAGTAACGATCCCCCGAGGCATGGGCAGCGGTAACCCCACCAACGCCTCCGACAGTGGAACCAGCAGACTCAGCTGTAAGTGGAGGATATAGCCCTGTATTTTCCTTACCATTGTTAGTTTCATACATCTCTCAAAATGGATTTCTTTTCTCGTTTTATATCTACAATACATGGCCTTTGGCTTTGGGAAATTGGTATATATATATATTTGGTGGGGTAAATTTTTGGGGTAGTCATTATTATGAAAAAGTTGATTTCTGGTGTAAAGCAAGTGTTCAACGAAAACCTTTGGAGGGTTGCACAGTCCCTTATCTTCCCTTCCATTATCTTCTGCGCATATTTTTGGTAGATATTATTGATCCCGCTAGCGGCGTCTGGTGGTTACCGTGCGGTGCGGCACTGTATCGTATCGTACCCCTTGTAATTGCACCGTTCGAGCCTCCTCGAGAGCCGAGTGACCGATCGTGAATATTCGGGGTATGATTGGTGGTGGGCATTTCGAGTTGGTTTTTTCAGGGGGCCGATTAGGAGAACGTCAAGAGGCTTTGCAGGTTGAGTTGGGTGTAATTTTGGTTGGCGAACTTGTTGCCTGGCTGGATCTATCATAGTGCAAGGCTCTCCGGAGTGACGAGTTCGGGGTTTTGTGCAATTGATGTAATGTCCCGTGCCTAACAGTTTAAGATGGGATGTGACGCGAGGGCTTTTGTCTTACAACCCAGTTAGACCCCTTTGGGGTATGTTAGGGCAGTTTATGTCTATCGAGCTATGATAAGTCTTTATGGTGGGCTGGCATTTGAGAGATGGCTCGTGGGTATATTTGTACTTCGTCGGGGGTTAGCTTTAGGGGGTTAGCTTTAGGGGGTTTGTGGGGGGGAAATGTGGGATCTGGGGTCTGTGTGCGGCTGCTGTTGAGCCTGTGGACTCCACCGCTGAAGACTTTCAATTTTAATCAATTTCTTAGCTATGATAATGTGGTGCTCAATTATTGATTTCTGCAATGAGTGCTGATAGTTGTAGCGCGGCTGCGCTCGACAGCCACGAGTCATGATAATCGGAGAGTTTCTGGCCCTCAGCGCTCTTCCATAAGGGTTGGGTGGTGAAAGGGCAATGATCGCTGTAACAAATAATTAGCGCCTTATGATTCACAAGACATCAGATGGTCTCACCGTGCTATAGGGGGAATGCCGATCCCGCCGCCCGAACCGTGTGCTAACCCTCTCATCGCTCAAAAGGATAGACATGACGTTCTGCTGCCTCCTGTACGCTGCCTCCTGCAACGGGGAACGCCGCCGTATATTCTCCCGATTGACATCAACCCGCTCGTCTGCAATCAGCAACCTCACCACGGCTGAAAATCCTTCTGCAGCCGCGAAATGTAACGGCGTGTCCCCACTGCCCGTTTGGGTATTAACCTTGATATCCATGTGGCTCAAAAGTGCCCTGACGATCGACTCGAGACCCTTGCTGGCGGCGGTATGCAGCACAGATCTACCATGGTACCCCCGACAATTGACATCAATCCTCGGATCCGTGAGTAGTAGGTGAACCAAATCCTCGTAGTTCTCGGCGACAGCGAAACCCAAGGCGGATCTGTAGACCATGGAGTGAAAGTTGATGTTCAGATCCGGCATCTGCAGGAGCGCTTGCACCGCCTGGATATTCCTCCGGTTGACGGCGTAGAATAGCGGTGAGCTGCCAGAGAAGCTCAGCTCATTTACGCTGACACCCGGGCACCCCAGCAGGGTGCGTAGCGCGGTGATGTTGGCATCTGATATCGCGTCGTTCAGGACCGCACCGGTGTAGAAGTGCGCTAGATCTAGGATTCCCCTCTGGCAGATGAGGTTCTCGCAGGTGCGCTTGTCTGCACGGCCAGCGGCGTTGAAGAGGAATTTTCGGGCACGCCTGGCGTTGTGTGTGCGGAACACTGCCTCAATCAGCTCCTCCTTGAGGAGGGTTATCAGGTGGCGGTTTGTCCGGAGGAGGGCGTTGAGGTCTGGGAGATCTTCGACCTCCCGGGCTATTAGGATTATTATCTCGTTTGGAAGGTGGTGGAATGGCATGGGTTTGGGGGAGGGGAGGAGATGATGAGGTGGGGTTGCGTCGGTCAATGCTTGTTGTCTTTGAGTCAATAAGTTACTTGTCCTTGCGCGGGGCTGTCTGGGGTAGGAGGCGTTCAGCTCCAGCCAAGACCGTCGTGATACAGTGTATCATAGTACAATGTCACCAAGGTGGTGTTATTGGAGAGGTCCAATCAATGGTGGCCTGCATGGCCAATGACGGTAGGGAGCTCTAGTGACCTGTAACTCCCATGGCAGGCTTTGCACGCCACGGCTGGAGCTCGCGAAAAACAAGGAATGCAATACGCTATTATGACAAAAACAGAGAACCCTCGGGGATCCATGATGCTTTGTTCCGCTCGCTAAGCCACGTTTGGTTGTTTGCAAGGGCTGTACTCGAGTATAGCACTTTGCAGTACAAATGACGGGGGAGATTCTTACGCACAGGTTGAGGGTTATTTGCTGGTTAACTAAGGTTAACTGTTTATTGGTTTCCGGTGGATGCTTGTACGGCGGTTGACTTGTACATAGCTCAACGTCTTACTGGTAGAGTGAGCACAGGGTTCCTTGTTTAAGTTCCTATGATAGGGTAAATTTGCAGTGCCCGAGTACGGTACCTGGTACAGTGTGGTAACCGATTTGCCCTCACCAATTTTTTCAGTGACGTAACAAGTTACGGTCTAAAGTTAACCCCAACCCATGTATCGCGAAGAGCAATGATCACTAAAACAAAGCTGTAATAGCGACGGGGATCCCGAATTATGGCCGCAAGATCTTCGTACGAGTGCTAACTTGTTCCTTGCGTTTGTCTAGCGCGGCTCGGAGCCCGACGAGCCCGGGTCCAGGTCTCTGTCGGGCTTCTAATTTCCGATGGATCCAGGTGCAGTTCCGTTCCGGGGGCTATCTGCTTGGGCTGTCTCCTCCTGGGCCGAGGGGTTAATTGGCTGTGTAGCACTATGCTCGCAAAACTGTCATGGATATTTGGACCCGTTCCGGTGGGAGAAGAAAAAAAGCGGGGCGCAAGTTCAAACTGCATCAGGGATCTTCACGATAGTATCTTCTCATCCCCGGAGATCCCAGGTTACAATTGTTTTATTCTATCTAGATGTACTAACGACGAATGGAGGTCCGATTCTCAAAGTGCTTGCCAGCGGTCTTAAAGCGCACTAAAGCCCGTCCTCATAGTACTATTTTCTATGCCACTGCATTGAATGCTGATGTTCTCTGTAGCCAACGCAAATCATGTTGCGGAGTCGAGGCTTGAAGCCTTCACCAGTATCTTCTGGGCGCGCTGGAGTGCATACTCGTAGCACCATTTCTCATGGTTCCGTGTCCAAAACTGACCTGCTCCATATTCTGGGGAGAAACAACCGAAAGGGAACCTGCGTTGGAAATTCAATCCCGGGCTCTTTCAAATTTCTGTCTTTTTCTGCCTAGTATGAACTTGTTTATATATAGTGGCACGGGGTGGAGGGAAATGAGATGGGCTCGCGCCGGAATAGAATAGGACAAAATTGACTTGAAAATAGAATATTCGTGTGCACGAAAAGTGCAAAATTACAGTCTTAGTAGTTCCTCGTCAGGGAGTATGCCACATGGAATGCTAGATATAGTAATAGAACTGACATTACTAAATAGACCATCAATAATTCTAGGAAGAGTATTGAATAAAATATTTCCATCTTTTCACCAATTAATATAGTAATTCCAACCTCTTAGAACTATAGTATAGCATGATCAGATCTATAAAAGGCAAAGAATTAACCAAACCTCTATCTATAATTCCACCTCACTCTAGCATTGACAACAGCTTATATACACTTCTAAGTCTTTGAATCCTATCTCTTATATTTCAACAGAATAACTAAAACCAAAATGGAGTTTTCCAAAGACAACATTTGGTTGGTTCGGGTAGTTGGTTCAGTTCTCCTGGTACTGATTATTTATTATTTTCCACAAAAGGTATGTATTCTGGATCTTATAGTAGTAGGATACTGGATGCTAAGATTAAGTAGAAGAGTAATGCTCCTCTAGTTAGCATTGAATCAGGAATTCTTGGATATCTTAAAGCACCTTATTGTTGGAAGCAGGATCTAATAAGTCTTCTGAAGAAGGGTGCAGAAAAGGTACTACTACTAGTATTACAATAAATGGAATAGTCAGAAGCATGCTAATAAATCTAGTATGGAAATCATGGCAAAGCCTTCAGAATTGCAATGCCTGCTAGGGATATAATACTTTTTTCCAATGCAGAAGTACTACAAGAACTGCAAAATCTGCCCACCAGTATTGTTTCTTCTCGGCATGCTGGAGAAGAGGTTTGTTTTAATACTTTGTTCAGATATAACTTAAGTATAAACTTATCTGACAATGATATAGATAATTAGGGGTAGATATACTTTCCATGAAGGAATTGTTCAGGATGCATATCATGTGGACTTGATGAGGAAAAATATGACTGAAAAGTTGTCCAGTTTATTACCTGATGTTATTAATGAGGTAACTACTGGATTTGAGGAGTTGACAAATATAAGAAATGGTAGGTGCCTTTCTTGAACTTGATTTAATACTATAAGGTAATGAATAATTTGACTATAACTAATATTATTATCCTATTTAGAATGGACCAATATCAATATAATGGACACATCAATTGACTTAATATCCAGGTATTTTTATATCTATTAATTTATTTCAAGTTTCTAGAATAGACAGAAACTAACCTAAGACTAAAGAGTAACAAGCAGAATTTTTGGTATATAATCCTATTATTATCTTGTATTGGTATAAGATATATGCTGATATTTTTAGTTGGAATGCCAATGTGCCAAAATAAGGACTATCTTGAGAGTATTAATGAATTCTCAATTAATGTTATGAGAAGAGCAACAGTTATAGATACTGTTCCTTGGTTTCTAAGGTAATACCTTTTTTTTGAACATTGAGAAGATCCTATGCTATAAACAAAATTTAATACTATATCTGAGGTTGCTAATACATGTTGGGAAATTTAGGAATATTGTTAGCTATTTTCTGAAAAATAGCACTGTAGAGGATGTTATTATGACACATATTGGGAGAGAATTTGAGGCCCGCCAAAAGGCTAGATGGTTTCAGTCAAGTTATGATATAGTTGTAGTAAGTATACCTGATCTACTTCTTTCAAATTTGAAGTAGCTTGAGAAGCATTATACTAATATGAATTTAGTCAGATGCAATTCAATGGATCCTTGATGCTGCACCACCAGAAACTCCAATACTGAAGTTGGTTCAGAAGTTGATGCTTTTCAACTTTGCATCTATTCATACATCCTCAATAGTAAGTTTTCATTTTCAGACTTTTCCTTACTGATAACTTTGAGAAATCCAATAATTCTAAGTAAATTAAATAGTCTTTAGCACATATTTTATATGATCTTGCAGCAAATCCAGAATTTCAAGATCCTGTTTGTGCAGAGATAGAGGAGGTACTAAGAGCTGAGGGAGGTTGGACTAAGCAAGCTCTTACAAAAATGAGGAAACTTGATAGTATCTTTCGTGAGTCATTACGCATGAATGGTACCAACATTGGTATTTAATTTACTTTCCTGATCTATTTAATTAGAGGATTACTTCTTAACATGTTCATACTAGTTACTCTTATCCGCAAAGTAATAACCCCATATACCTTTATTGATGGTACATTTGTGTCAAAAGGAGCATGGGTGGGTGCAGCTACAATCAATATCCACTACTCACCAGATCTCTACAAAGATCCAGAAAAGTTTGATGGATTTAGATTCTATAAGAAGCGCCAACTGGAAGGAAATGCACATCATTTCCAAATGGCAAGTCCTACATTAGACTACTTACCTTTTGGATTTGGAAAGAATTCCTGTCCTGGGAGGTTTTTTGCTTCCAATGAACTCAAGATTGCTGTAGCATATATCTTATGCAATTATCAGTTAAGACTCAATGGGGGCACTACTGGTGAAAGACCACAAAATATCTATGATGGTCTTGTGTGCTTGCCTAATCCAACAGTTGGGATTGAGTTGAAGGAGAGAGAAGGGAGACAGAAGTCAATCTTGTACCCGGGCCATATGGCTTCTTATGGGAATTAGTTCCTGGAAAGTTTGTGGGAGATAGTCTAGTTTCTTCAATTATTATTATTTTCATTGCTAGTCTATATTATTACTTCTCAGCTGCCTTATCTCCTCTGTATTTAT